CCTAGTCTGTGTCGCGTGTAGCCGCAGGGCACGGAGTCCGCACTAGCGGACATTTAAAAATGGCGGCTCCTGGCAATATGCAAATGAAGCTTGGGAAATTCAAATCCCGGGCTTCATTTGCAACTCCGGTTGCCTACATTACCACCCTAGTTCGAACTAGGGTGGTAGTGTAGACATACCCATAGAGACATAGGCAATTCAAATCAAGTTGGAACTTTCCAGGCTAGGGTTAGTATGGGTTTCAGATTACTTGAATGGGCATGACAGTGCAAACGAGATGACGTATTTTTGGAGAGACTGTGCTGATGCCTATACTAAGCCTCACCTCACACCCAGGGTAAGCCAGATCCTCCCAGGAGCCTGTGCAGGTTCAGACTGAGAGGGCTATTCATGCAGTTAATAAAAAAGTGCTATCCCTTTTCTGGACAAATCCTGCTCCTTTAGCCACTCGTTATCATTGCAGCTTGTGACCTGTGGTCTTTGTGAGCTGCACTCCCCCACCCTTTGAAAGATTAACTCTGAGCTGCCCTTCAGCCCCTGGTACCACACACAGGGTAGTGAATTCAGTGAATGAATGAAACAAGAAGATGAAGCCCAATAGAAAGACAAAGCACTGCAAAGGAAGATCAAAGCTGCCTCTGTCGATCTTCCAGGATTCAAATTAGTAGTCGAGTTAAGACAGATAATTCGAACTGGGAGGGGCATTCCTTTTGATGCCGGCAACCCTCATTTCATGAGGAGTAAAGGAAGTTGAAGGGAGAGTGTTCTTCCTTCGACTTCCTGCTCTGTGGACAGTGCCAAAAGTTGAATTTAGTTACTTCGATTTCAGCTACACAATTAATGTAGCTGAAGTTGCATATCTTATTTCGACTTTGTTCCACAGTGTGGACGTACCCTTAGTCATTATCAGAGACTGGAAAGAAAACAGAAAAATTACAAGACATTCTACTGCGCAGTTTTCAATGGGATACTTGTTAGAGCATTTCCAAGCATGTGGCTTCTCTTGGAGACATCTCCACTCCCACTGCTTACTGTTGGACTTTTTGCAGACACACAACACTGGAGGCTGCCTTCTGGTGCTTGATTGTAATCTCCATGCTCGTCCTTTGTCATTCAAATGGCTATCTGTGTCTTCAGGTACCACCCAGTAAACCACTCCGGAAGAAACCACCATGTTCCCTTCCCTTATACACCCAAAAGGAGCTGAACCACAATGGTGAGCCGGTAAGTACCAACACAATAAGGAAAGAGCATTCCTTTCACTGGGTTTTATTCCCTCTGATTTGGTGCCCTAAAAGGCATGTTAACTTGGGTCTACTAGAAGGACCACTGACAATGAAACATAAATTATAAGCTCTAAAGCAGTGAACACTTCCCCTACCCACTCATAGCAATACTGCACAGAATCTGTTCCTTGCTGCCTCCCTACGGTTGCATGTAGGCATGTGTACATGATCCATTTCTACTTGGGAATTTCTCCCTCTGTGGCACCACATCTCCATAGGATCCACCTGATTCTCCTATTCCAGCTCCATCCTCACATCTTAAACTTTTCATGGTAGGGACTGTCATGTGTTGTTTATACAGCAAAATGATGTCCAACCTGGATGTGGCCTTTAGGCACTACCGCAACATAAATGTTAAGCAATGATTTGTTCTTGAATTCTTCCCTTCTCCTAGATTCATAGTTTGAAAGGGTGAGTGTGTAATTCATGCAGAGCCTAACATTTCTCTTCAGATATGCTAGAAGTCAGGGGTTCTCAAACGTCATTACATCCTGACTCCCTGCTGACAACAGAAATTACTTCATGATCCCAGGGGTGGGGAATGAAGCCTGTGCCTGCCCAAGGCTCACAGCTCCAGGCAAGAGGGCCAAAGTTGAAGCTCAAGGCTTCAGCCCTAAATAGGGGGCCTGCAATATGAATCCTGCCACCCAGGGCTGAAGCCCTTGGGCTTTGGTTCAGCTCTGGGAAGTGCCGTTTGGCTGCAGTCCCATTCAAAGGGGGTCATGACCCACTTTGGATTCCTGACACACAGTTTGAAAACTACTGTGCTAGATGAATAGTTCACAACACACTTTACAAATATTAAAGCATATATGATGGTTAATTTTATTCCATTTTACTGATGAGGAAACTGCATCATAGAGAAGTTAAATATCTTGCCCTAAGCTATGCAGTGGCACAACCAAGTCTAGAATCCTGAAATACGAATCCTTATTCTTCTGGGACTAACCATCACACAATCCCTAAGGGTATGTCTACACTACAATGTTAGTTCGAACTATCGGACGTTAGTTCGAACTAACATTCATAGCCGCTACACTAACGCTCCGCTAGTTCGAATTTGAATCGAACTAGCAGAGCGCTTAGTTCGAACTAGGAAAACCTCATTTTACGAGGATTAAGCCTAGTTCGAACTTACTAGTTTGAATTAAGGGGTGTGTAGCCCCTTAATTCGAACTAGTGGGAGGCTAGCCCTCCCCAGGTTTCCCTGGTGGCCACTCTGGCCAACACCAGGGAAACTCTATGCCCCCCTCCCGGTCCCGGACCCCTTAAAGGGGCACGGGCTGGCTACGGTGCCCGTGCCAGGTGCAAGCCTGCCAGCACCCAGCTAGCAGACCCTGCACCTGGCACGGCACAGAGCCACCCA